AGCGACACGGAAAGAATGTGTCAGGCGCCCATTTGCGCTGCCATGTGCGATAGTTGTATATCTTGTCGCCCAGTGTGGCGCTGCGAGTTTCCACAACCCGGATCTTTGGAAGGAAACGAGAGGGGAACAGATCCCGATGAGAAGCAATCCAGCTTTGTAACCATGTGCCCAGTAGAGCTTTCCAATTCTGGACATGTAGCGGCGGCAAAAGTAGCTGTGTTAACGTGGTGGGTGGTTGTAGCCGTCGTTTGCGTAGTACCTGGGCGAGGAGCTTCTGGGCCTTGGAGCGGACAAATACTGCGAGCCGCAATAAGTAGTACAGCTGAGTGGGAGGGAAAGCGGCTGACAGTAGGTCACGCATGACTTGGAACGACGCTCCTGTATTCGATCCCAGCTGATAGAGGATCGAGTAGTGGGCTTGAATGTCATCCAGGGTGTCAGGTCGTAGTTGCCGTTGGAGATCCGGATGTAGTCTTCGTCGAAAGCGTTTGTGCAGGCCGAGGGAAGTGGGCGACGACAACGAGTGGCGTCGAAAATCTACAAGATGCTCCCGGAAGCCCACCTTGCGCAAGATTCTGTGTACCCAGGGCGCATTCAAATGCGGGCGTAGCAGGAATTGCCATTTGCTTTCTTGAACCCACACCGAGGAAACAGGAAGTTTGATTTCCACTGGTACAGCACAGAAGAGCCAGTAAGTGTTGGATCGCTTCCAGTAGTGAAGCGCCGGTTCAAAGAAGGCATGCCGTCCACGAAGTAGTTGTAGAAATTTGCGACTGCGTGAGTGTTCACGACGTAGAACATCCTGATCAGTCGCCCCAACATAGTATGGTGCGTGCCATGGGGAAAGTCGAATGTAGACGCACGGTTGTTGGTGATGACCTGGATCATGTATGAAGTCGTAGAGGTCAGGAAATCGCGCCCGCAATGAGCGTAGATGTCGCGTGTCAGCGAAAGTTGAGTGCATGATTTCACACAAGAGAGAAGTCTTGTAGAAGTGAAGAACTTCGAAGAACGGCGGGATGTAGCCGTGATCCTGTGAAATGAGACGTTGTAAGAAACTGATCAATAAATAGGCAGCGCACCGACATCTGTGAAGTTCGTACCTGTTGGCCACGGTGTGCTGAGAGTTTGACATAGCGCAATTCGGAATCTGGAGGGCTATCCGGACCATAACTAAGACCTCGATGATGAGACCCAGCCACGGCAATTGTGTGATGGATTCGTACTCTTCAATTGGAATCGACGGTGGTGGTAGTCCAGGGAAACAGTAATGCCAGCACGTCGAGAATGTAGTCAACGAGTGCAGAAGGTCGTCCAGCGACTGCCATTGTGCAACATCATCATAGATTCCGCAATGGCGAAGTTCATCCAACATGGTGAGATGCAACCAACGAAATCTACCACAAGGCGGCGACATGAATACAAGCATCACAGACAATCACACAAGAGGCAATGCAAGAACAAGCAAGTACAAAATCAATCATGTGCAACGCAAACACTTGACGGACGAGTTTTCACCTGGACTCATCCGTGACATTGTTGCCGCGCCGGGCTCATATGAGAACGAAGGTCGATATGATGCCTTCTCATCCACAAAGCAGGCGAGCGGTCACGATGAGGTGACTCAATGCCTTCTCGGTGAGTTTGGTAAGGTACCCGGGTTCAAGACCCCATAGTGCTGCCATTGCACCGAGTGTGGGCGCATCGCCCTTCGGCATGCGCTGCCTGGCTTGAAGAAGCTGCGTCGCCATAGAATCTAACGACTTGTTGCCGTTGAGCCGGGACGGGTGATTGGCCCACTTAACCAGCGACGCCAAAGTGGTTGTTGTGGGTGCTTGCTTGAGGAAAAGGCGAGGTTGGTCACTGGTCCATGTGTAGTACTTGACAACTTCATCCGGCGTGCTGTGCATGGTGAGCAACTGTGACGCCGCCGGTTTGGACGGCGGTGACGACACTCCGTGAAGAGACTGCATGATCCGAGGTTGCACCACGCTATCAAACAACTTGCCATCCAGGGCGGCCGCGCTGGCTGTGGGCAGGGAGCTGGCAGGTGACGAGGATGGTGTGTGGTTGACCGGTGGCGGTGTAACCAACTCTGCATCATCTTTCTGGTTTGTCATCGTGGGCGAGGTCGATGCGCGAAGCGATGCGGAATACTGAGCCTGTAGAAGTTCATGTGCACGATTCAAGTCATTGAACTTCTTGACCATGTCATCGGTCTGGGCAGCAGGTGCGAGAGAGGCGTGATGTTGTTGAAGAAATTGAAGTACCAGGTTGGCCAAATGGTCGTGGACCTTGATGCGCTGATTGAAGTCATCAATGTTGAGACCCAGCGTGTTGGCAAGGTCCTTTTCCAGGGTGAGCAGGTTGAGTGACTGCGATCTTCGTAGTAGTTTGGAGCAGGTACTCCAAAGTAAGGCTTCAGTGCGGGTGCGAAAGCCTTCCCACGTCACGAATCGGCCGTGTGCAAACGGCCTGAGCAGCCAGTTGGTGAGGCCCCCGTGGATAACCTGAACCAGGCGTACGTCCCTAATATCCATGCCTGACATGTCGCGAAGGTTGCCATGTGGAGTGTTGGCAACAGTCATGGGCAGGCTGAAGTTGTAGAGTTGATTGACATCAAACATGCCGTCTGCAGGTGTCCAGTCAGGCGAGGGAGTAAGCCAGGCTTTCTGAGGACGAACCGGTAGAGCTGCAGGAGGTCCAGGTGAAGGTGTAGGTTGGGAAGTAGTGACCGGTGGTGGCATCACTGGTGGCATGAACTTGGATGGCGTGGGATCAGGAGGGATCGGCATCATGTAGTTGATCGCCGGGTACTGGAATTGTTGTGTGGGGTTGTGAGTCGATTGAAAATTGGTAGGCACCATCGGAAAGTTGTTAGCAGCGTTGTAGCCGGAGTTGTGTTGCCATGAAACCAAGTTGTTCCAATCCATGTTCTCCGAGACCTGGTTGTCATTGTGCTCACGTCGGCGTGCTTTGTGAGCTTGAGGGGACGGACTCCGATCACGTCTGCGTCGAGTCCTGGATCTATCACGATCATCACGTCGAGACATGGTGACGCAACCAGATCGGAATTTGCACACTTCCACCTTGAGAGAATCAGACCCGACAATATTCAAATCCATGCAAATGCAAGTTAGCGGCCCTCAACTGCAATGGTCGAGCGAAATGTACAAGGCAAAGCAAATACAAGTCAGCAATCGACAACCGCAATGATACGAGCAACAAGTTCAACCAATGGTCAAGGTAGGCAATGAAAATCGGCAGCTATCAACTATGGTGAGACGTCACTATGAACTGACGGCTTTCTTCCCTTTAGTGAAACCTCGTTCCTGATTAAATGTGAAATTCCGCTGTTCTATGATACGCACGTTGAGGTCAAATTTTCCGACAGAGCCGGCCCGGGGTCACACAATGGGTACACCCGAGGATTCCCCACGAATGGGGTGTACACACTTGAACTCCAAAAGGAGAGTGCTAATCTTTCGAGTACAACTGATGAGTCTCGAGTACAACTGATGAGTCTCGAGTACAACTGATGAGTCTCGGCTGAGGTCTGCTTGCAAGTCACTTGGCTTCACTTTAGAAACGAAACCGTTACAGGAAAGAACAAGAAGCACAAACAGCGCCGCAACCAAGGGGGCCAAAAGGACATTCAGAATCACGGAAAGCAGGTACAGGTGTCCACGTCTGGACACCCTTCCCACCTTTGGCAACAGCTTCATTGCGTGCAGTATGCCAAAGGTGCTGCACGCCCCTGCTGCGAAACCGAAAGGGTGGTGACAGGGCATTCTGTCACTCCGCACACACACACACACACCCACACACACACACACACACACACACACACACACACACACACACACACACACACACACACACACACACACACACACAACACACACACACACACACACACACACACACACACACACACACACACACACACACACACACACACACACACACACACACACACACACACACACACACACACACACACACACACACACACACACTCACACAAAAACACACACACACACACACACACACACACACACACACACACACACACACACACACACACACACACACACACACACACACACACACACACACACACACACACACACACACACACACACACACACACACACACACACACACACACACACACACACACACACACACACACACACACACACACACACACACACACACACACACACACACACACACACACACACACACACACACACACACACACACACACACACACACACACACACACACACACACACACACACACACACACACACACACACACTCACACTCACACACTCACACACACACACACACACACACACACACACACACACACACACACACACACACACACACACACACACACACACACACACACACACACACACACACTCACACACACACACACACACACACACACACACACACACACACACACACACACACACACACACACACACACACACACACACACACACACACACACACACACACACACACACACACACACACACACACACACACACACACACACACACACACACACACACACACACACACACACACACACACACACACACACACACACACACACACACACACACACACACACACACACACACACACACACACACAAACACACACACACACACACACACACACACACACACACACACACACACACACACACACACACACACACACACACACACACACACACACACACACACACACACACACACACACACACACACACACACACACACACACACACACACACACACACACACACACACACACACACACACACACACACACACACACACACACACACAAACACACAAACACACAAACACACAAACACACCAAACGAAAACACGCAACACCACAACACAGGACCCCTTTCATTTTGGGCATGTTGCAAGGTGCGAAATGATCAACCCGAGTGTCCGGGCCCCGCAGCGGCCGTCGTTGCGCCAGCCGTTGCCAACGGCTTGCCTTTGGTCCCAAAAGGGGGCTGTCCTGAGCCCTCAAACACGAGGAACCAACCGAAACCTGAAGAATGGGTGTGCCTGAACCCGAAAGAACGACCCACATAAAAACCGGAATTCACCAGTTCCATAAGTTTGAGTTGCAGTCATTCCCATTTTTCAGGGAATCTCCCCCTTGGTTTCAACATCAAACTGCTCACTTCCGATCGAGTGGAAGGGCCAAAACAAGTCGATTTACCGCCAACATGGTCCAAACCCAAAAAGTGACTAAAGTCCAGAAACTAAGGAAGTGAGCAAATGGTGGACGCCAACTTTCAGGGCGTTCCCCACTTTGGGTGTTTGATGTCAATAATTTGGACGTACGTGCCCTAGTAAGGGTCCATGACCAACCCCGACTTTAGGCAAAATGGCCTTGACCATGGCTATGGCGACCGAAGCTCACATGCGCATTGCGCAACCAAGCCAATTCGCCAGTGTAGTTGCAAGGCACTGGACATACCTGGACCAACCACGTATGCAGAAGAAAAAAAAAAGCCTGCGAGAGAAAATGCACAGAATTTTGGCATTGTTCTTCAAAAACACATTTGTTTTATAAAATTGCTTCCGCAGCGCAATGCCACACTGACGCGTTGCTGACGCATTGCCTGGTCTGTCTGCCTTCTCCCTGAACTGGACGTGAGGACCTTCCTTCTTCAAATTTGGCCGTTGCTGTAGGTTGGTTTCCAGAAGAGCTCCGTCTGAATCCCTGGGGGCGCTTTGGAATGAGAAAGCTGGCGCGAATGTCAGCCAACACCGTTTTGCAGCTAGCTTTTTTCCGGCAATTTCCGCATTTTTCCTTCAACTTCCGCCTTTGTTCCGGCAATGACCGCCTTTGTTTTGGCAGTTTCCGCCTTTGTTTTCAGAAGCAATTTCACGAGCAACTGGCCACAGATTGCGCTTCTGGAATGTAGTGCTGCTGATGCACTGACGCAATTCATTGAGCACAGATAGACATCTCAAAAAGCTTCTAAAGAAAATGATCTGCCAATTTGTAGACGGAAGCATGCTCGCAATCCAACGAGGACGCCACAAGCAATGCAAGCACGGAAGCGCGAGCCCCGGCGAGGGGCTGAGCGCAGATTGGGGTAAGCACCCCCATATTTCGGAAAAACGTCCTCGATCCGAAAAACCGGTGCCCAATCCAAACTTGAAGAAAATTCTGTAAAGACGTTGCAGGTAAGCTCACCACGGCGAATCGACCGGATCTACCCTTTCAATTGTCCAGCTGTCTACTCTAGGAGTCCCCATAAAAGGTTAACGACTCGAGTCATGACCCAAAGGAACAGCCCTGCTCACTGCCACGGAGAACCCTGACCAATTCCTCAAGGGCCAGACTCAATAAAAAACTTAAGCCCTCCCTAGAAAGTTGGCAAAAGCTTCTTGGGTGAAAAACAGACACCCCTTGAAGGGCAAAAGGGCAAACACTGTCCATGTGATACGAAAAAAGCACAGTCGGGGACCCCTTGCAGTCAATTCCTCTTCAGGGCGGGCACTTCTGTGATAGGAAAGCAGCGGCCTTAATGACAACAAAGTCGCAAGAAAACTAAAGGGAGCCCATTCATTTTGGGGGAGGCCCTAGTTTAAGACACACCCACATAGCCCACGCCCCCCAGAAATCAAACGTAACATCCTACCCTCAAAGAAACTTCACCTTCAAACGCAGCCCGGAAGAGTTTATTTGCTCCAATCCCCAGGAAACAATGAGTGCATATGTCCACCAATGATAGACCCCTTTACAACTAGGCGGAAAACAAAACACCCCAAACGGTATTCTGAAACACACATGGATTCCAACTAAATACAACAACAGGAGCAGAAGAAGCAGGCCAATCACATGGGTGTGGCTCAAAATTCACGAGCCAGGGCAACGCAGGTTTTAGGTGCCATTGTTCTGAGCTGTCCTCAGATCCCCCGCTAAAAGTTTAACTTGCGGGCTAGATGGACAACCAACCACTAAACACTAAAGAGCTAAAAAGCCAAGGAACCGGATGGCTGGGGAGCCACCAAGTTTAGGTGCCATTGTTAGCCACAGCCACATGGAAGAAGAACCCTGACTCTCCGCTTTGAGGGCGGCACGGCTGTGCCACGAAGTGCCTCTGCGTTTCGCCCAGAGAGCCCGCGGCGACCGGCGGCGCCAAGGGCGGTGGCTCTTTCCTGGCGGTTCACTGGATATGCCTCCACGTCAGTGGGCTGCCCTAACAGTTTAACTTTTTTGGGTTAAATGGAAATCCCCACTAAAGACTAACAAGCTAAAAAGCTAAGGGGATAGCTGGGAGCCACCAAGGTGAATCATCCCTCTAACTGGTGGTTTGGAGCCCGGTGGTTTGCTGCTTCAGGAGGGGTTCCCCTTTTTGACTCTCTACAAAAAGCCAGGGACCCGTCTGTCCATCCAGACCACCAACCTGACCAGCTACCTGAGTCCAGCAAGTGATTGATCCTTTGGCGCTTCTCGGCCGGCTGGCTGGCGCTCGCGCAGCGCGGGCGCAACGTTGTGGGCGCTTCTTAACTCGTGAGGAGGCCTAAATAGAGGGGTATGTCTAGCTGCTCTAAGAGGAGTTACTCTGCCCCCTGGACAAAGGCTCGAAAAACTCTGTTTCATACTTAGTCTGTCCTAGCAGGGTCCTAACGTATCAAACCGTTTGGAGGGGACCACCACTTAGAATCTCTGGCTAATAAGTCCCCAACATGACGTTTATCCACAACCCACCTGCAAAATGCTGTGCTTCCATTTGGTGAAGGCCCCAGGAAAAACCATTCTTTTCCAGTGAGTTCCTTTTAAAAACCAACCAGCAAGACATATTCTTAAGCAAAAGGTGTGTGAGGCTGTCTGACGTCAGGCGTCACGTCACGTTGCTCCAGTCCCTGAGTGTTACGCGGTCAGAGGTCAGAGGTTTACCCAACTCTTGTGGTTTCAAAGGGAAACCACCAATTTTAGCCAAAGGTTGGGCATCCCTAAAACACCGACCCCCCCCCCCCCCCCCACATTGGGCATTGAAAGGGGGGTGAACCAAACTGGTCGGAAACCCCGCCGACGCGTCGGTTTTTTCGCCTGCGAAGAATCGGGCAGGGCGGCGGGCGGCAGTCCTGGAGGTCGCGAAGTTGTTTTTTGGCTTGCTTCAACCCGGGCGGAAAGGGTTGGAACCATTGCCTAATTCGATCGGGGGAAAGAAACGAATGGCGCTCCTGAAAGAATGAATTCCCTATCACTTTGGGTGCTCTTTTTCGGGTAACAAGAATGGCTTATGGGCATCCAGTGCTTTCACATAGCGGGTCCCTAGGGATATTTTCTTCATGTAAAACCTAGAGGGGATACGTACCGTAACTGGAAGCACTGGATTGGTTTTCTAAAGGCCAGAATTTTCCGCCCTGTGCCTTCAGAGGGCTAGGTTCTGAATCCCTCGAGTCCACTGCTCATGTGTCCAATGAAAGGGAAGGAGAGCCCTGGTCGGCACTGGGTGGACTGGAGGTGTGTGGTTTTTGGGAATTGCAAAAAGGAGAAGGCAACAAAAACCAAATGCGAAATCTGCAAATGAACGAATTGATTTCCAGGGAAGCCCAACCCCCTTCAAAAGGAAAGCACCAACCAACCGCTTGTCCCAGACCCCATGAGAAAAGGGGCCACTCTTGTTTGGGCAGAAGACTGGGCTGTCCGTTTTCTGATCTACTAGAAGTCGAAGACTAGGAAGGGCGAAATAGAAACTCAAGCTCACTGAACCAAAATCAACGAAAAAGCCGAAACGCTGGGCTTCTTGAGCCTAGCGTCACTTGTCCCATTGGGGCAGTCAGAAGCCACCGGCCATCGCCCTCTGAACCCCCCGGAGGGCTAAGGGTCCCCGAACCCCGTGGACATTTTGCCATGGGGGGGTACCCCTTGTCGCTGTGTGGACACCCTGCCGATGGCAGGTTCGCAGAACCGACTACGTACAGTTGGTACACGTGGAGCTTGTTTTGGGTGTACGGTCCCGATACTTTCGCTGGCACCCATGCCTTTGAGCCTCGGGTGTGTCGAACCAAGGGTGCCTATAGTCGCAACATACGAGGAGTGCCACACTTTTGTTGGGCGCTCTTAAGTTTGTGTCAGCCACATGGCTACGCGAACCTGTCGCAGGATGTTCTTGGACTACGCGGACTGCACACGCGAGCAGTTTCCCTACCAGAATTGCCTACGCGGTGCCTCTGCAGCAAAAGAGGGTCCCCCCTAACAAAACACACTCGCTCAATAGCCACTGTTGGTCACTCACTCTGGACAAGCGCATCCATGGGCACCCTTCACCCTTCTCTATACAAATGGATGGACAAACTCCTGCACCAGCTGTGATGGATGAAGCACTGTGACTGGAATGAGCCGCCTACCAGGTGCAGTGTAGCATTTGCTCCATCCACAATCTCCCCTTCTTTATTGAAGATCTCCGTCCTTGCACGGCCCTTCTCTTGGTGCTCAGTAGGGAATGACCCAGGGTGTTGGCAATCAACCTCGGGCTTCCCTTAAAGGACACCACAATGCTTGGCTGGAATTAGGATCCCAGCAAAACACCAAATATTTTTGCCTGGTTCGTGGAAAACAAACGGGACCCCCCCAAAAAAGCGAAACATCAACTAGGTCCTCCAGTTAGAGAGGTTAGAATAAGGGTATCCTTTTTCCGGCAGTCTATTTTAGTAGGGCAACCCTCCCCTAAAAAAGAAAGGGGTGAGAAAGGGCACCAATTGCTGGGAGTCAAAAAGGGGAGCTGATTCCGGACAAGTAATTTTGCGGCGCTTCCATTTCTCATTCCCTGCTTCTCGCAGCAAGTTTTCCGAAACCCCCGGAATCCGCCTCCGCTCGGCCGCTGATCTGCGGGTTGCAGTTCCTGAAGCCGCGGAAAGGTGGACTTTTCACCCGTCCTGCCTTTGCTTTTTCGTTCCCTTGGAACAAACATGAGCAAATATGCTAATATTGTGGATAGACGAAATCCATTTCGCAACACCTAAGAAACCATGGAATGATGATTCCCCGGTAAGTACAAAAAACAATGGTTTCCCATGGCTTCAAAGTGGTGCAGGATTTCGTCCAGCCACAGTACTTCCACATATAGTGATAGATTCCCTTTAAAACCAGCAAAAGGCAATAACACATACTCATTTAAGCAAATGGAAGCGTGGGTGAGAAATAGACCGAGACAACTGCGTGAAGATCCTCCCCCTGACTGTGGAATCACGTTAACGGGCATCACCGGCCCGGGCATGCCCGGGCTATGGGCAAACAAATGCCATGGCCACGGGCAAAACGATCAGTGAGCACTTCTCACTGGTTGTACAGGGAAACCAAGAGAAACACCGCAAACGTTTTGCATGGACCCCAATCTAATCCAAGTAAACACCCTGAATCAGGCTCTCAGGGGTTAACAAGGGACTGAAGGCCCCCCCCCCCCCGTTCGCCCGTCCAACCTGTTTGCAGGGATTTCCGCGTGAACATCCCAATTTGCTCCAAGAGCCCGAGAAAGGCTGTGGATGGTTGCGCAAAAATGGCGCCACGAGACACCAGGACGTCTGATTTTGTTTTACGCTGGGGAATCGAATAATAGGGCTTCTGAACGGTGAAACTAGATTTTGTACGTTTCTTAGGTGGAATGATTCGATTTCCCAGCGCCAATACCAAGAATGGCTTCAACCATGGTTTCAACTCGTGGTGCTGAATGGATGTCATCGACAGTGGCGAACCAAACTAAACCTGCGTGATCTGATTTTCTTATTTTGGTCATGACGGAGCAACCCTGGGTAACCTGATGGATAGGAACCGACCTACATGCGGAAACCTGTTTTTGATGTGGCGGAAATGTGGAAAGTTTGTTTTGGATATGGTGCGAATCTCTCTTCTTTGGGAAGTGCCGTGTATCATATGTCACGTTGCCATCCCCCGAAAAGATTTGGCAGGGTCATCACTACTCAAAAACAACGAAAAAACCAGAAAGTCGCCAGTACCCCTTTGGCCCTCGGGGTTTTTCTGCAGTCAAGCGGAAAAGCTCGGTTGACGTTGAAAGGGGAGCGAAAATTCTCAATCTTAGCAGCCAAGTGGTTGGATTTCAACCAAACCACTAAGCCACAATAAGCAAAAATGTGTCCAATCTTTCCCAAGAACCGAGAAGAGGCGGCAAGCGCATGCTTGACGCGCAAAAAAATGCTTAGAGGAAGCGCATGCTTGAAGCCTCGCAGGTTGAGCCGAGCCAGTTACGTTACAGCGCGAAGCGCGCCGAGCCAAACGACCGCCGCACGTGCTGAAACAAAGCACAGCACTTTGGAAGCTTCCTGGAGCCGAAAGAACTACCCGTAAAAACCCCATGGGGTGAAACTTGCCCCAGTTTTAAGTTGGAATTTTGAGTGTTCAGGACGAACAAAAGGATTTGGCTTCGGTGCCAGTGAAGAACTGGCGGGAGTAGAGTCGAGTGCATTTGGCTGAGCCTCAGAAACCCGACGAAGGTTTGATTCGATGGCTAAGGACAAATGTTTCATGGAATTGTTCAAGCACCCCAAAGAGGCGATCGTGCTTTTTATAAAGCTGAGTTCGCCGAAAGGGTTGGGTGGGATGTTGAAAAACATTTCATATGTTTCAAACTGAGTCTATGAGTCATAACCTGAGCTCTGTCAGGTTCGACCCAGCCCCATTGAACCGGTTTGGGCGCTAGTTGGTACATGGGTACCTAGACTGGGCTGTCCGAACTGATCCCCTGCTAACAGTTTGGCTTGTGAATTAACTACGAAACCTAACCACTAAAGCTAAAAATACCTCAACCCCCCAAACACCCGGATGTTGAACCACCAAGCAAACCGCCATTCTAGCAATGAAATGCCACCAAGGCGGATCCGCCATGCTCTATAGAATGAGTTGGATCAAGAAAAGGGCCAGGGTTCGGGTTGAGCGGGTTCTGAGCGGGTGTCCCAGTGCGGACCAAGAGTGTGGGGCTGACTTCTTCTAAAAGGGGACTTGACAGCGCTGAGCAAATGGATGGGGATTCATGTCCTTTTGCATTTGTGAGCGCGTTCCCCATATATAATTCATCGCTAAGTCGGTCGGGTGAGGATGGAGTTTCTGAACAACGCTGCTAAGCATCTAGTCTGTCAGGGTTCATCCTAGAAAAACATGGGCCCTTGGGGAAACACGGGAAACCGCTTACCAATCTTTACATCCCTTGGTATGCTTCTTTGCAGCCCCCCCCCCCACAACAAATGAACCTAAAACAGAAAAACCTGCCACTTGCAGCACCCCCCCCCACCTATGAACCGAAAACAGAAAACAACAACAACCCAAAAAAGAACATGCCAACAACAGCGACCAACAACAGCGAAGCCATGCCCTGCTCCATCTTCCAACGGCTCTGAGGTAGGCACCAAAAGCCCGTGGCGGCGTGCAGTCGCTTCACCGTAAGGTTCCTCGCAATCCGTTTCAAAAGCCGAAGTCCAAAGACTGGCTCAAAAGAGAGGGGTTCGTGACCCCATGTAAGGGTACAAACTCCACTTGCTTGAACATGTTGGGCATCCGCCGTATGAAAGGCGATGCTGGCCTCAATACTTTACCAAAGTCACCCCCGTTCAGTGGTGGGTTAAAGGGAAACAACCGATTCCATTTTCTGACTTTGATAACCCGCAGAAACAGCCAAAATAATGACCCCAGAAAAGTCCATTGCCAAATAGCCCGAACGTGACAGGGGGTCATCTAAAACCACCTCACAATCTGTGTTGACCTGTCTACTTGTAGTCGCAATGAATACCTGGAACTAGAAGGTTCCACCCAACCAATGTGAAGAAGTTAAAGAGCGGCCATATCTATGTACTGTTTGTTGCCTTGCTATTCTCAATCCACCGTGGTGTTGATTGGGGCTCATCTGCCTTTGACCATTTTTCTAACGCAAAGCAAACCGAGACTATGCCACTATACTCCAGAGAGCAAAAACTCGATCACAGCACAAAATAGCACAAGGCCCCAAGGAACCGCCTCACTACTACGGCAGCTTGAACGGCTGTTTGCTCATTGCCAGAGAGTGTTCAGTGACAAGTGGTGCGCAACATGCTCTTGTGATTTGTCTCACGGTTCAGTCATGTGGGGCTCGCGAGCGTAAATGCTTAAGGGTTGTTGTCATTTGCTTCGCATCTGCACAGTCATTGGCGTACACACTTGAACAAGGGATCTTACCTTCTGCCAAGTTGTCTCTTGGCTGTGTTTAGCTTGTTCCGCGTAGGCGAGTACTGAAACCACTGGCTGGTGTTGGGTCAACAAGCTGGAAGGAGGCAATCCCCAAGTAAGGAACCTTCATTAAAAAGGAATTCCGTGTTCCACCCCCCTGTTCGTTTGAGTCTGTCATCCTCTGCATTGCACGGATATGCAGGGTTTCCCAACAGACACGTCCAAGAATCGCCGTGATCCTCCAAATCCGCTGCTACATGTGATTCTCAAGATGCCATGTGCTGGTGCATAACTCAAGGGCACTTGCCAAGAAAAACCTGGGCCGCCTGTTCTGGCACAAGATGACTCCAGTGTTGGGCAGAGAAAGCTGAGTCATTATGCACGAACATGTTCAACTTCTTCTTTGAATTTAGTATTAACCGGCACAAGTCGACCACATGGATGTTGTTCAACAAGCCAGACAAAACGGAGCCTGACTCCAAATACCCCATGTTTTCTGGTGAATATTTTGGGCAACTTAGCTTGCCAATGGTGAATAGGTGTTCTTTCTTGAGTCATGAGGCTCAGACATCTTCTTCAAATGAAACCCGATAATTATTTGCAAACAATTTTGGGAGGCATGAGGCTCCGTAAATCTTCTTCATGAAACCCGACCATAGTTTCCAAACAATTTTGGGAGGCCCCTTAAAGAAACACTCCCATCACTCGGTACCCTTTGGGTTGGTTGCAAAGAACCCCCAAAACGACACCTCCGTGGAAGGCCAACGAGCACCGAAGAAAAAGCGGGACTGAGGGAAGCACCCAGCTTCTGCATGTCGTTTTCTCACTATGTCCAAAGCCGGTTTCAGGGATCCCCGAGTAAAGGGCCTTATATTCTGGTCAGCTCGTTCTAATTACCTTTCGTTCGACAAGCTCGCCATGAAAAAAAGAGGCGGCCAAATGTTCGCAACGGCCACTAGTTTCAGTCGAAGGGAAAATACATTGGCACTCACAAAGCTGCCAACAAATTCGGAAAAGTGGGGCACTCACCGAATTCCAACTTGGCCATCATGAAGCTGAGTTTAAATTCTCGGACCCTTCGGTTTCACCCCTTTTCCCTTAAAATGAAAGAGGTACCTGCACCCCTCAAAAATCCCTTCACCATGGGTTGCCCAGAATGGAGTGAGGTCCCTTGTCTGTGGTCGGCTCCAGGAAAGAGCAGACACATATTGACCGCTACTCTCGCTCACTCGCGTCCTCATGAAGACCTCCTGAGTGCCCTGAAAGGTGACGAGAGCACCTGTGAAAGAAACACTCCATCGCTCACGGCCGTAGTTCCCAAGAGTCCAGTTGCTTAAGTGGCCTGGAAACACATATTTCCAGTAGTGATAGATTCCCTCTAACACCAACAGGGGAAATAACAATACTCTTAAGCCAATGGAAGTTCTTTTTTTGAAGGTACCTGAACCCGAAAGAACTACTCATAATTCACCACCCATAATCTGGGATTGCAATGACCCATGTTTAGGTTGAAACTTTGAGGGTCTGGATAGCCTGTTTTCAGTCGGTGTAAAGGGAACAACAATAAGCGCTTGCCCATGCTCACAACTACCGCCCGAAACCTGTTCTACCATGGCTATATATATATATATATATATATGAGCCTGACGAAACCCCTTTGAAACTAGGCAGCAGAACCACCTACTAAAACCCAAATCGGGGTGTTGGGCGCGAAGAAAGTCTTGTCGCATGCCGGGCAATCCAACGCCAAGGTTGGACAACTGCGCCCTAGGGTTCCTTGCCATGAAAAGAATGGCCTTGGGACCAATTTGGATGACACTCCTTGGGTAAATGGCGGTGGTTGTATGAACCCAACCATTGTTTTGATGCCCTGCCTGAACCCCAGGCTCTATGAGTCGTCACAAGATATGATTGCAGGTGCCACAATTATGTAAAGGGAAACACCCTTTTGAAGGTCCGCCGAATTTTGCCACCTCAAGGGCAACCAACATTTTGTTGGTTGTCTCTCTTAGCCCCTTTCAGGTTGTCCCATGTGTGTGGCAGAGAAACAAAAACCCACAAAAAATGGTTTCCGCTTACGTGAAGGTGAAACAGGAGAAGGAAAGAAGCACACACTGTGGACATTGGTTCCTCAGAATTGTGGTTCCCTTTTGGCCTGATTGGAAAAGAGTTGCCTTGAACGGCCAACTTGTATCTTGTAAGGAACCTTGCCGGAATACAAAAAACACGGCCCTCGTACAGTGACACAACACCAAGAAGAAATTGGGGGTGTTCAAGCAGAACAACTTTTTGGTCCAGCTCGTGCTGATGCATCGGTGCGCTCACACATTATTTTCATAGGTTTAAAGCCGGGAAGGCTTCTGCAAGGTTATGCGTGTATACATATATATATATATATATGTGTATGTGTGTGTGTGTGTGTGTGTGTGTGTGTCTGGCCGTCTGGCTATCTGGCTGCCTGCCTGTCTGTCTGGCTGTGCGGCTGTCTGTCCGTCCGTCCGTCCGCCTGTCTGTCTGTGGCTATGCGCGTGAGCGCGCGCGCGTGGGTGTGTGTGCGTGTGCGTGTGTGCGTGTGTGCGTGTGTGCGTGTGTGTGTGTGTGTGTGTGTGTGTGTGTGTGTGTGTGTGTGTGTGTGTGTGTGTGTGTGCGTGGGTGGGTGGGTGGGTGGGTGTGTGTGTGTGTGTGTGCGCGTGCGTGCGTGCGTGCGTGCGTGCTTGTGTGTGTGTGTGTGTGTGCGTCCGTGTATCTGGGTGCGTGTGTCTATCTATCTCTGTCTCCGTCTCCGTGTCTCTCTCTCTCTCTCTCTCTTTCTCTTTCTCTCTCTGTCTCTGTTTCCGTTTCTTTGTCCGTCTGTCTGTCTGTCTGCCTACCTGCCTGCCTGCGTGTCTGTTCGTCTGTTTGTCTGTCTGTCTGCTCGTCTGTCTGTGTGCTCGTCTATTTGTCTGTTTGTCTGTCTGTGTCTGTCTGTCTGTGTGTTTGTCTGTCTGCCTGACTCTTTGCTTAAGTGTGATTTTGCTTGCTGTTTACACATTTGCGCGGCCTTGCAGGCACAAACTCCCAGCCAATTCCATCCTTGTCGCTTTTCAACCACGAGACAAGCCTCTTCGTGGCACGGCCAACGCTAATGGATTTGGCCCGACTTGGGCGACTCGTTGTGAGTCGTCACAGAAATTGTAGACTAAAGTAGCCGCCTGATCACGACTCCTCCGCTGGAGGGTGCGATGATACATAGCATGATTGAACTTGTCGTTGGTCAGAGGCGAAACGCCGTTTATAACGGCGGCCCTGCTGGAATCTGCCATCTGAGCAGCCCTGCTAGATGGTTACACAGAAACCTGACCTGAAACAGCGGCAGATCAACTTCCAAAGCGCTACCGCGCGAACAAAACACAAGGGCAACCTAGTCGGACACAAGCTCAGGCGCATTGGAAACTGACCTGCCTGGGCAAAATGATAATTGAGCCTGACGTACAGGTTGAAAACGCATTCCCATTTTGCTGGTTCTCAGGGAGTACCACTAGCCGCCACTTGCCGTTCCCAAGCACTTTCCCAAAACTGGGACCTGTTCCCTGAGAGCCAGGCATCCTGCGAGCAGCCCGGTCATGAACAGATATGGGCCATGGGCTTGTAATTTTTCGACACCCTTCAGCAAAACTACTAGCTCAGGGGTCCAAAACCCAACAAAACCCATGGCATATCCACTCACAACGCTGAGTCGGAGCCTGTCCGAAGTGTAGCCACGGTCAATATCTATGTGCCCGAATTGAAGTTTGGTGAACCTCCATTTCTTCGCGCAAAAAAAGGGAGGGCGAGTCTATGATTATGTCATCCCCTCAAGCGCTGAATATTGACCGTTGCTCTTGTGCGGAATTCATAAGGACTTCACTTGAAAAGAAACCACGTGGAAGCGCTTTTGCAACCTGGCGCTTCAGAACAATTCGAGCAGCCTCGACATGTTCTTATGCCCACTCAAAGCACCGACCTCATCGGCTTCAAAAAAGGGCTCAACGCTTCGCATGCATCCTTCGATCCCAATCACAGGCTTACCACCTGAGCAGAGAGATGTGCGGAAAAGAAACATCTCTTTTAAGCTGAGAGGAACTACATCTCAACGAAGACAAAGAAGAGGGCCCCTCTGGTTTGTTGAAAAAGGAACCCCCTCCACCAATCAGGGCTTCAAAATAAGGAAGCGGCCTGGTTGCAGCTGGGCGACAATTGACTTGCCCTTGTCCATGAACGGCAAAGGGCAGACCCTGGACTCCTGAACTTTTGATGGTGCGCGGTACTGTATTTGCTCCTCGTTCATCTCGAAGGTTGCTACAACGTCCCATTCGTGCCTTGGTTCGTTGATAGCCAAAGCTTGATTTCGTTTGGATATGCCAGAAGGTCCATCCCTCTAAACTCGACCAAGGTACTTCTTTGCCCTGCGAAGCTCCCGAATCATGCGTTTGAAGTCCATGGGGTGCCGCTCGACATGTTCCAGGAAGGACTTGAGCACGTCCGCATGCACCTTTCCTTCATGAGGCTCCACGGACGAGCAATTACTCCTTTTCACCATGGTCACCACAGGAAAGGCCTTGACCCGAAATGGCACTAGAGAAAAACGCATCCAAACTCATCTCAAGCAAGCTCGGCCCACAGCCTTCCCACGCTTCGGAAAGCTTCGGAAATCGATCCACCAGGGTGTTTCTCACAATCGTAATTAGCCCGTTTTGGGGTGGTTTTGACAAAACAAAAGGTCTAGAAGGTCTTTCTAAGAAAAAAAAAAAACATGCTTGCGCGTTCCTCGGGTTCTATACCTGGCAACGTGCTGCATTTCCGGTTCTCCCGGAACGCAAACACTCCCATGTCGCAAGTTCATCCATAAGTTGGCTGTGTTCAGCTTGTTCCGTGTACGATGAGCGTACTGAAAGTACAAGGAACCGCATTGGAGGCACTCACAAAATACCAGTCGGACAAGTGGTCACCAAACTCCAATGTCAGTTGGGGGCCATCAGGAATATGAGTTTGCATTGGCATGGAGGACCCTCAAACTGGATGTCGGGTTTCCCCTTTGCTTTCCCTTTAACCCTTCCCCCCCCTCCAAAAAAAAGAGAGGTACTCTCACAAAAACAAACGCAGCTTGACTGCTCACAAGCGCTCTCGCTCACTCGCGAGCTCATGAAGACCTTCTGAGACCAAAAGGAACACAGTAAGCTTGCCCCTCCCGAACAGGCACCCGAAACTCGAGCTGCTTTTTGGTGCTATGAGCCTGAAACGATTGAAGCCATCTGTCTGTTTGTCTGTCTGTCTTTTTTGTCTGTCTGTTTGTTTGTCTGTCTGCCTGTTTGTTTAAGTGTGACTTTGCTTGCTGTTTACATATTTGCGCGGCCTTGCAGCCACAAACTCCCAGCCAATTCCATCCTTGTCGCTTTTCAACCACGAGACAAGCCTCTACGTGGCACGGCCAACGCTAATGGATTTGGCCCGACTTGGGCGACTCGTTGTGAGTCGTCACAGAAATTGTAGACTAAAGTAGCCTGATCTCGACTCCTCCGCTGGAGGGTGCGATGATACATAGCATGATTGAACTTGTCGTTGGTCAGAGGCGAAACGCCGTTTATAACGGCGGCCCTGCTGGAATCTGCCATCTGAGCAGCCCTGCTAGATGGTTAAACAGAAACCTGACCTGAAACAGCGGCAGATCAACTTCCAAAGCGCTACCGCGCGAACAAAACACAAGGGCAACCTAGTCGGGCACAAGCTCAGGCGCATTGGAAACTGACCTGCCTGGGCAAAATGATAATTGAGCCTGACGTACAGGTTGAAAACGCATTCCCATTTTGCTGGTTCTCAGGGAGTACCACTAGCCGCCAATTGCCCGTCCCAAGCACTTTCCCAAAACTGGGACCTGTTCCCTGAGAGCCAGGCATCCTGCGAGCAGCCCGATCATGAACAGATATGGGCCATGGGCTTGTAATTTTTCGACACCCTTCAGCAAAACTACTAGTTCAGGGGTCCAAAACCCAACAAAACCCATGGCATATCCACTCACAACGCTGAGTCGGAGCCTGTCCGAAGTGTAGCCACGGTCAATATCTATGTGCCCGAATTGAAGTTTGGTGAACCTCCATTTCTTCGCGCAAAAAAAGGGAGGGCGAGTCTATGATTATGTCATCCCCTCAAGCGCTGAATATTGACCGTTGCTCTCGTGCGGAATTCATAAGGACTTCAGTTGAAAAGAAACACGTGGAAGCGCTCCTGCAACCTGGCGCTTCAGAACAATTCGAGCAGCCTCGACATGTTCTTATGCCCACTCAAAGCACCGACCTCATCGGCTTCAAAAAAGGGCTCAACGCTTCGCATGCATCCTTCGATCCCAATCACAGGCTTACCACCTGAGCAGAGAGATGTGCGGAAAAGAAACATCTCTTTTAAGCTGAGAGGAACTAGATCTCAACGAAGACAACGAAGAGGGCCCCTCTGGTTTGCTGAAAAAGGAACCCCCTCCGCCAATCAGGGTTTCAAAATAAGGAAGCGGCCTGGTTGCAGCTGGGCGACAATTGACTTGCACTTGTCCATGAACGGCAAAGGGCAGACCCTGGACTCCTGAACTTTTGATGGTGCGCGGTACTGTATTTGCTCGTCGTTCATCTCGAAGGTTGCTGCGACGTCCCATTCGTGCCTTGGTTCGTTGATAGCCAAAGCTTGACTTCGTTTGGATATGCCAGAAGGTCCATCCCTCTAAACTCGACCAAGGTACTTCTTTGCCCTGCGAAGCTCCCGAATCATGCGTTTGAAGTCCATGGGGTGCCGCTCGACATGTTCCAGGAAGGACTTGAGCAGGTCCGCATGCACCTTTCCTTCATGAGGCTCCACGGACGAGCACTTACTCCTTTTCACCATGGTCACCAGAGGAAAGGCCTTGACCCGAAATGGCGCTAGAACGACACACGTGCGGTTTGTGTGCAAAAAACGATATTTCATGCAAGTGAAGCTAAATTTACTTGCTGGTTCTCATGACCAGATGGATGGTTTTTGTCTGTTACCTTGGTTTGATTGGGCGGTTCGCTTGGCGCTTTGGGTCCCCCGACAGCCTGGCTCAAACGTGTTTTCGCTCACGGCAAGGACTTTGTTGGAGGAAATGGGCGGCGAGTCGTTCTTTGAGGGTACCTAAAGGGTCCAGCTACCCAGAAAAAAAGGACTTCGCCCCCCATCGTTTTGAGCAATCGCCCAGGTTTCTCAGGGAATTTGAGGGTCCAGGTACGCACTGCGACTCGGTAAGGGGAAGCTGTAAGGACAAATCGAAGCCATGTTCCGCGGGCTCCAAGTTCATCAAGTCATCAAGAAAGGAAGCTTCGGACATGGATCACACCAGGATCCTTGTGAAAAAGTCGCCGCATCCGTTGCCACCTGATAGAAAAAAGGGTCCATCATGGGTCCCCACCTGGAAAAAATGGGTCCATAATGGGTCCCTTGTGAAGGTCCCTTGGAGAAAAACTAGCAAGACATTGTGGCCCATTCCGCCCATTCTCCCTCGGGTTCCGAACCTGGCAACGTGCTTGAGCTGTTTTTTTTTTTTCTCTTTCGGAACTGGAACGCTCCCATGTCAGGGGCTCATCCGAATCGCGCGAGCAGCCCACACAAAAGGCGCCACTCGTCCAGTGAGATCCCCAGCGGCCGGGGTGGAAACCACTTGGAAACTTGGACATAGGGAAGAACAGTTGGAGTTGGGGGTGCTGGGATTTCCTGCAGACTTGCTGAATGACTGCGTGGCCGCAGAGCCGAACCTTGGGATGTGGGGCGAGCATGGGAGGGAGCGCCCAATTAAGCGGGGCAACCATAGTTTCCTGCCATATGGTCAGGCAATTCAGCACCATCCTGTCGTGATAAGAAGGCATGAATCGCAACCCAACAAACTTTAAAGTCCGCCAACTCCGGGAGTTCCGAGTTCCAGTACTTCGCCTTCCCTTGACTTCACGAGAAAAAAACAACATTCCAATAGGATTCCGCGCGCGCCTTGTGTTGGCCCTGTCACATGAACATCCTCAAAGGCAATGTCGGACCTCCGCTCAGGCAGGTCCCGCGAACTTGAGCCCCAGATTTGCAGGGACCAACTTCTCCGGCAAGCATAATCCCGACCAGGGGTTCAAGACTCCGGACGGGTTTTTCACGATCATCAACCAGGCTTCAAGAGGCAACAATCCGCACACATTTGTGATTGGGATTCTCCCTTATCCTTAATCTACCAGGGATTTGATTGTGGCTCAGTTGCCTTTCTCAGCCGTTCCCCTGCAAGGTACCAACATACTTTTGTGTCAGCTCACTGGAGGGGAAGTGTGGGCTTCAAAGCTAAAGTAAGTCGTGCTCAGAAGCGACTTATATGTGTAATCGGCGAGCCCAAAATGGCGCCAAAAGGCAAATGGAAGTAAAGACCGACACCTGTGTAACCCTGGCTCTGTAATTTTGAGCGACCCCCCATCAATATTCTCACTGTTGCATACACCCCCCCGGCCAGGAACGTACACCGCCTCTTCTCGTTTTTTACCCGGCTGCCTGGGCGCACAATTTCCATGGTTGGCACCTGACCCCCAAGAGACCCAAAGAAGGCACCAAGAAGGATCGATCCTAGCCCCTACGCCTCAGTTTATTGGGGGGCCCCAATTTTTGAGGGGCCCCTGACCCGCACCACCTAAGGAACCTTGGAATGATTTGCTTCCCGCTGTAAATATCAAGAAACGGTTTGGTTTCATTCACATGGTTTCATTAGCGGTGTGAGACTCGCGGATGGCTCGCGAAACCATCCAGTGCAACGGAACTCCATTGTCTCGGACCGTTCTTCAGGTCGTTCCCAGGCAGGCCCCCCAATGGAGGTGGAGTGGAGCCAATCTCAGAGAATGGAAACATGGCTCGCTTCTATTGGCGAGTTTGCTTTCGGGACCCGTTTCAGAGTCAAGTTGTTTGCTCCGAGAACAGGAGCCGTCCACGCTGACAACCACTGAGTCTTGCACCACAGAACATATCTGGTCAGTGCCCATTAATAGGCTGCGCATGTGCCAAGCGATTCCACCGAGCGTGCGTAAAGCGACCAACGCTGGTTGATCCCATTTTCAGATGCGGAATAATAAAGTAGCAGAACTGCCCAAACTCTAACGACGTTCCGATCGAGTGGCTTCCTGAACCCAAAAACAATTCCCAGCCTTAAACATAGCAAGCAATTGGTGAACGCCGCCCATTTTTGATGGGTACTGTTGACCCCAAATTAATCAGCAAACCAGTTTTTTGCATAAGGGGGGGGTGGTTTTTTGCCCCTCCAAAAGTGGTCCGATTCCTAGCACTGGGGTCAGCCTTTGTTCTTTCGGGTCCAGACTGCCGCGTTCTTTCTGTTTTCCTTCTGAGATCATCCATTTGCTTAAGTCCCCTGGAAAAAATACAAGTATTCCAGCAGTGATAGATTCCCGTTGAACCAACAAGGGAAAATAACACATATTCATTTCAGCCAATGGGCCCCCTCGCAAAACTGAAGACATTTCCAGGGATAGATTCCCTTGAACACCCACCTTGGTCTTGAGCCGGATTTCGTTCTTCGGAGGTGGGGCTCCCGGGGCTCCCGGGCACTTTGGGATGCGGTTGCAGCTGGCCGCGGCAGAAGGGGTTGTTCTCCGGGTACGCGGCCATCACCACCTCAATGGAGAGACTTCGAGAGAAGCCGAAACACGTGGTCGCTGGTGTGCCGAGATCTCTTTTTTTCCGGCAAAACATATGGATTTGTTTTCGGCAAAAATAATAGGTTTTCTTTTTCCTTGGAAACTTGAAGGAGAAGTCAAGACATACTTCATTGGAATGAACTATTTCGTTGTTGTTTTTTAGGCGAGCTCAAGCCTCAACATGATCTGAGCTGTCCGTTTTCAGATCCCCCGCTAAAAGTGGACAACATTTAGTGGGCTGAATGGAAAACCAACCACTAAACACTAAAAAACGAAACAAGCTAAGGGGATGGCTGGGAGCCACCAAGTGATATCTGGACTTCTGTACGCCTCTTTCCGACCATTTAAATATGGGGCCATGACCCCCATATTTTGGGTTATGACCCCGTTTTTCAAGCGTCATGGAGACTCCAGGTACCCAGAGAAAAGGGACGTCACCCAACAATTTTGGGGCAATATCCCATTCTTAAGTTGGAATTTTGAGGGTCCAGAAAGTTATCTGTGCCAAGATTGATTCAGAGTCATAACGGTTGGGAAGGCGGCCCCTGAATGGTTGGTCACCTTCTGTGGAGTGGCCAAAGAACAGTTCCACCGGACTTTTGGTTTGTCCACTCACCTTGGCTGGAATCAGGACCCCAGCAAAAAGACGATATTTTTTGGCCTGGTTTGCGGAACACAACGGGGGACCCCAAATATGCTAAAAAAAAAAAGATCAGGTGATATCCCCAACAGCATGCGGTGCTCGTTTTAGTGCTCGCACCATCCCGCAGCCCTCGTGGAACCCTCGTAGAACCTTACCCCAGGTTCGCCCCGGATCAGCTGTTGGGGAATAATACCCTTCCTCCCACTAAGATGGCACCTGTGGGAGGGTACCAGGAAGATGAGTTTCCTCTTGAAGGGACCCCCTGTGAAGTGCCATGTAAGTGGGAGAGAGGGTAAGGGGAGCTACTTCTGGGGAAGCAACATGGTCCAAACCATTTCAAGCGCCGAAGTCCGAGTCCCGTCACGAGTCAAGTTTGCCGAAAACATTCTGGGGCTTGGAGTAAAGAACTGGCCAAACAAAAGGGAAGGGAATCCACCAACCAGAATGTTGGGCTGGGATTTGGCCACTTTTCAGGCTGGGCATTTTGATGGTTTAGGTTCTTTACGCAAATATGAAACAAAAACACATGGCACAAACTGATCTTTGCTGATGGATTCCTGGGAAACACTCTATCTCGATGCGCTTCGTTTCTTGCTTGAAGGTTTGGTCCAGGACGGTTTCTAGCAAACACATCGAGAGCACCTCGCCTGAGTCACGCCTTTTAGCTGGTGACTCGCCTTGTTTCTAGTATAAGCCCAGCTGAAGAAGCTTGGCCCCTTTTTTATTGGTTTCGGGGGTCCAATCTCAGAAAAGCTACTGAACGCCACGGCAAAGTCTTCCAGGAGCCCCCCATTGGCTATGCCTAAGCTTGCCCCTTAGCTCGTGTTGTGTCTAGATGAAGCATATGGGTGTCTCCATTTTTGAGGGTACCCCAACTTTTTGATGGTTAAGGAAAGCCAACAGGAAAACCAAGGCCATCTTTGGGTGCCCACTTTAGAGACAAACCCCATCTCTTTCTGCAAAAGCTCTCTGATTTGTGCCGGAAAATCCCTGCTCCCTGATTGCAACCGATCGGACATCCATCTGGAAGTACGTACCTTGTTCATACCGGTTCCTTGGCTTCTCATCCACTCTATAAGGGCTAACTACTCCTTTTTGGGGAGAGGCTTCTTTGAACATCAGCAGGCCTCAAAGGTTCATTTGCCCTTTCGGGGTATGTAAAAGGGTCCATGTGCACCTCCAACCGCAAAACCCTTCTGGGGCTGGCACCAAGGCTCCTCGCGAAGTGGCACCGACCTGCCGAAAAAAAGAGAGATGCCGAAGCCAAGCGCCGAAGCCGCCGCATTCGGCGAGAAGCCTTGTTCATATTCCTCGTTATGAGTGCGTACAATAGAAGACCCACTAAAATGGTCTCCCCAAACAGATTCTGTGCAGGATTTGGGCTATTGTTGACCCCATATTCATCAACCAACCAGTTCATAAATACGGGTGGGGGGGTGGGTTTGGCCCCTCCAAACGTGGTCCGAATCAGGAACACCCCCACAATAAGATGGGGGTGGATTAATTTATGGGTATATCGACCACTTGGGACCTGAGGGATAGTAACTCCAGGGATATGAACACAAACAACTTTGTGGGTGGTCATCCAAGTAAAAACAAACTCATCTAATTGAGTTGACACTTGCTCTTGCTCTCTTGCGACTGGCGCGCAGCGTCTGTTCGACGCAAAGACAAACTTGGGGCTTGAAGTAGGAATTTTATATGGAACTTGCAGATGTTTTGGGTTCCCTCATTTAAAGACACACCCCAGGGTACACCAAACAAGAGGTCCAGATTCTATACTTCGTCGAATGCAAGCATAACACGCTGTGCCGTTTTGAGGGTGCACGGTTCAGGTTGGTTCCAAGTCCAAGGAAACCCAAAAGGACAACATCATATCCAAGAAGGCCAAGTTTAATGAACCCAGCGCAACTATTTCCTTTTGCTGAACAGTTTTCTGGAACAAAGTCTAGTGTGAGATCCCCTTTCAAGCCAGCCAAGAAAGATCAGACCTACGCATGAGGCGATCGATCCGCCTGCAGATTCTTGGCCAGGATGCCGCGCACGAAGCCCCCGCGCGTGGCGCCCACCTGAAAAAAATATGTTAACCGCCCACGGCGCGGTTGCCGCCGTTTGGGGGGAAGAGGCTGAAGGCCAACCCGGGCCAAATTTTCAAATTCCTTGAGGGTGGCTTTGAGAAATATCCCCAAGAAACGGGGGGCCTTTGTCATGGCTATCTGGAAACAGTGGTCTTTGAAGGGGTCGAACAATTTTCCCTGAAGTGGTCTGGGCCTTTGTAAACATGGCCTCTTGGAGATGGCATCCGCAAAAAGGACCCAACCGAACCGCATCCGCGTCGGCCAAAAATGGCCTTGGGACCCTCGGTCGCTGAGAAACCTCACTTTGCGGCCGGGCAAAGGGGGGACCGGGAGATGGGTGTGGTTCTCAAAATTAAAGGATCGGGGCTGGCTCCGCAGGTTTTGGTTTCCATTTCTCCACTTACCGATCGGGCAAGCCATTTTGGAATTCCGGTTTTTTGAGCCACGGCCAGATTTAACTGAGCGCCAGTTTGGTCAGTGGTTAATGTCCCTGGTTAAGTCCCCGCGAAAATGTACCCTACCCACCTTGTAGAACTTGGGCGCTCATCCAAGTACTGGTTGAAACGGTTAACATGGAAGTGAAAAGGGGGGGGGTCCCCCAAAATGGCCTCTAAACATGTCTTCTGGGCTTCCATGTAAATCTGATTGAGAGTGCCAACTAAAGCAGGTCCACATTGTATGCAGTTCATCCATTGTTTGACTGTCTTCCCAAGTCGTAGTGAGGACAAATGACCACCTCAAGTAGTCTTAAGAGAAATCTGACCACAACTCTGTCTGACTTTGACCCCCTCAACAGAAATAAACTCCAAAAAGGTTTCAACAGCAATGAACTTGGATGAAGGTGGGCGTGGTCAATGTTCAACCAGAAACACAGGAGACTTGCAGCTTTCTTATGTCTACCATCATAGAAAAATATCTTCCAAAAAGGACACAGTACCACGAATAGGACATTCCCAGAGCCAAAGCACCCCCAGCGTAACCAACTCAAGCCAGAGGCCAAACAAGACGGACTCTTCGGAGGATCTTTGGGTAGACTACTGTGGATGGACGAAATCCTGTACCACCTAGGAAACCCTGGAAGGCTTCGATTCCCCTGTATATACAGAATGGTGTACCATGGCTTCATTTCCTGGCAACCAGAAACCAACGTGGAAACATGAATGTCGACATGTTGAGTAAGCAAACCCCACAGCCTCCCCCCCTACTTCCAGTGAGAAACTGGGGCCGACCTCCGATTGAGATTGGCCAAAAGTGACCAATCTTTGTTGTTTACAGCTACTAGGTCCTCCAGTAGAGAGGTTAGAATAAGGGTACCAACTTTTTTCTCCAGTCTATTTTAGGGGAACCCTCCCCAAAAAAAGAAAGGCTAAAAACGGGCACCTAGCTGGGGGACCTAGTAGGCTGGCAATGTTGTTTGGGTCCTCCTCCCCATTTTTTCAGGCTACATGGCAGAAAAGGTATCCTTATTTAGGCTACTAGGTCCCCCATTTTTCAGGTTCCCCTAGGAAAAGGTGAAAAGGTGGACTCGTTTGGGGCACCTGTCACAAGCTTCACCGGCGCCTTGATCTCGACTGCCACGCCGGCGTTGACCACGACGCAGTCTTCAAGCACCACGTCTTGGACCTGAGCTAACACCAGGTGACGTGTTGCACTCGGTGGAGAAATCTGCGAAGCCCCGCTAAAAGTGACTCACTTTGAGTGGCTTAATTCGGAAAACCCATTAGTTGGGAAAAAAAAGGTTCAACCGGAGAAGTGAGCACCATTCAGACAGATAACCAGGGCCTTACAACTTTAGGTAATGATATTGATCTTTGGATATTTTCTATTGTGGCGACTGGAAAAATTGAGAGTTGTATAGGTCAGAAAACAACCACCCTTCAGGAAACTGGCTGGTTGTCCATTATTGTCACTGGGGGAGATGTCTCCCAGCTGGGGGATACCTAAGACTGGATGCCTTGCTCTCCCTTCAAGCCCCATCGAAAAGAGTTGGCCCCATGAATTTACCATCAATCCCCAAGTGGTAGGTTTAAGAGGCAATGAAAGCAACAAACCACGTTGATCATGAACAACGAGGCGCTAACTGTCCGATTGCTGTTGGTTGCGAACTCCACTTCACACCACGAAATGAACCATGACAATGAAAAAAACACATAACGTTTCTTGCGGTATCTGGAAAAATCCACCATTTGGCTGTGGCTCAAGATACCGGAATTCCAAAATCAACCCGTGGAAACATGGAAACCAAAACCTGCGGTTCCAGCCCCTCATTTGAGCCACATGGCTGACGATTCAAGGATAGACCTTCAGGGAATTTCTGGGAACCCCAAGGTCCCTGCCGGACCTCTGGGGCTCGTTCAGGCTTCTCAGGCTCAGCCCAGAGTTCCTGAAAGAGCACCCAGGCAAATCCCCAGGGCACTGGCCACTTTGCTCACTTGAATAGGAAAGCCGGATCCGGAAAGCCGGGTCCAGCGCCTTATGTTTAGCGCCCTCCCTCAAACCCCAAACCAAATGAAAAAAAAAACATCTTTTAGCACAAACTACCCCAAACCAAATGAGAAAAAATCATTTTCAAGCACTTCCACCTCTCTTTTTCAAAAATTTCTCAAAATTTCTGGGCCCCGCAACTGTTGCAACGGATTCGCCCACTTCGGATCTCAAAAGTTGAGCTCTTGGGCCTATCGGGGCCTTGGGCTCCGGGGCCGCCTCTGGGGCTCCGGGCCCCACCGGACATCTCGGAGCCGATGGTGAAGGCCGCCGCGTTGCAGCCCCTGCGATCGTTTGGTTTGAGACTTTCACTAGAAAAGGTTCTTGAATCCCAAGAGCTCCTAAAGGATTCTGATGGCATTTTTCTTTGATGTCGGTTCATCTTCTCTTTACCTTGTATTATTTGGAGCGGACTGGCGGCCAGAAGGCACCCTGATGTTGGACTAGGTCCAAACCTGTAGAGAGAAGTTAGAAGAAAGGGTACCGACTTTCTTTGTTCAGTTTTGTCTGTTTTAGGGGAAGCCTCCCCAGAAAAAAAGGTAAAAGGGCACCAAAAAGAGGAAACAAAGAAAAAACAATTGGGTATCTGAGTCACTGAGTAAGCGGTCAATGTCTTCAGTTGAGCCTCAAGTGGGGCCGGCCCTACATATGGTCCACTTCGGGGACTTGCGGACTGAGGATATTCACCACTTCAGCGGCGGTCATCTAAGTACAGAGCACCCCAAAACATTCCCTACCAACGGGAACTCATTCAATCTGGCGTTTTTACCGTATAAATCCGGGTGACATCCGGGTGACATCCTTTCACCAACCAGAAGCAAGGGCTCCGCGGGAATCGAGTTGGACGGGGCCCAACCCAAAAGGCGCACCCAGCCTTGGTATTGGGGGGAACGGCTGCGGTCAGCCATAGATTCTGGGCGAATGGCAGAAGACCACTGAACAGAACCGTCATGTGAGTCGCAATCAAAACCTGGTACTAGAATGGTTTACCCAGAATCATGTACAGGATTAAGAAGGCGGCCGCAGCAAGTGCTGGTTGGGATCGTCGCTTTCTACCCAGGTTTTGATTGTGGCTCACAACATATAGCACACACACAGAAACCCACAACGAAAAGAAATGAAACAAGCAGAACATATGCACGCGCAAAGCACACACAAACAAGAGCACAAAACACACACTTGATATGAGACGGCGAAACTGACAGTGCGCATCCCCATGCAGGCACAGGCTGTTTGAAGGTCTCCGGCAGGGCAATGGAGTTTCGGCTTACTGCATGCTCAAACATCTTTCGTGCCACCGACCATCCTCTTCAGGAACGCCATCGGTAGGTGACACTACTTCATGTTGAGACATCCAGCAAGGTGGCGTTCGACTCCAAAAAGAAAGGCACGACCGCAAAACCCCTTAGGAACAGGGGGGCCACACACACACACACCCCGCAGGGGGAGAAACAGAAACAGAACAGCCCGAACCTGAACACTCAGAGAGAACGCCAAGTTCTGAAAGCCGCCTCCATCATAATTCCCGATGGGTGATTTGGTCGGTTTTTTGAACTCCTGCCTGTGCTCGCCTACTTGCGGCCATTTTGACATGTGGCTTCACTGCCTAAGTTCAGGTGGCCTTCTGATGCTGTTCCTTCACCTTCCTGAGGCGCTCCAGACTCTTCCAGCGCTGCGTGACATCCGCGATGGACCGGTTGAGCTTCTTGGCCAGCGACTTGTACGAGTACTTGGACCGGCTGTCTCCCTTCAAGCTGCAGAGCTGCTGGTCATCTTCTTCTGTCCAGGCCCGAGGTACTTCCGGGGAGTCCCGGGGTTGCCGGCATCGGAGTGAGCATGAGCAGGAGGTTCAGGAAGAGATTCAGGAGAGGAGAACAGTCCAGCGCAAGGAGATCCCGGAGCAGGTGCTGGAGTGCGAGATGCTGGAGGCGCCGGAGGTTCCGGGGAGTTCGTGTTCTCGGAAGATGTAGCGCGGCATCTCTTCCGCTTAGTTCGGCGTCGATCAGTGCCCTTCTTGTCCATGATGGAGCGGGGAATACTGGCCTTCTTGATGCTCGGCTGACCAGCATAGGCGTGCGCCATGGGGCTCTTCGAGCGTGGGTCTATAGCCTTGTTGGTGTCCCCCGTGATGATGCCGTAGGACAACGACTTGGGGTTGGCCACCGCGTTGTGCCTGTGGTCCGCGTGTAGCTGGAGTGACTGGAAGCCGACTGGTGGCGGAGGGTCGGTCGGAGTCTCTGAATTGACCGAATTCAGCATCACCGGGCCAGGTGGGTCTACCTCATCGAATCCAGCATGATCAGGTGCTCGTGGTCGCGATGATTCTGCCAGCGACAGGCCTCGGACATGTTGTTGCCGCAAGCGACCTTGCCCGTCATGGTACCGGCGACTGTGTGCCTCGTCAGCCTGATTCAAGGTCTCCTGGATGAGCTGCATCATGTCCGCAGCGTTCTGGGTCATACGGTGGTGAAGTGCTATCATGCGCCCGAGCATGGCGACCGCTCTCCGATATCGGCGAGAAGGCCAACACTTCTTGAACCAGCGAACGAGCTCCGTGATCAACACAAGAGTCAAAAACCCCAGAAACCAAAAAGAAGAAGAAGAACACCCGAACGCAAAAGCCAAAACGAGCCGGACCAGGTCCGGAGAAAGACCGAAAAGACAAAAGCGAGCCGCAAAGCCAAACATCGAAAAACAGCGACAACCGGCACTTAAACGTTCTTTCGGGTTGGGATCGCCGGAAGATGAAACAGGTGCTGCAGGTCAGCTGACTTGTAGCCGGCGGACAGATAAATACTGCGGAGCTGATCCAATGCCATCTGTACTGCTCTGGCCGGGTGCGCGTACTTGGTGGCGAGGGCTGACCGTGATCTGGCCCCGGAGAGAAGGGTGGAGAGACTTCCAGCAGTGTGGGGTCCTCTGATCTGCCAGATTTTGGTTGGGGTTTTGTAGTAAATCGCCCGGTCGCCCACATCGATGACGAAGCCGAGGAACTCAGAAGATCCCACCTGTTCCAACACGATGGGGGCGCCGTAAAAGTCAGCTTGAAGCAGAGCCTCCAATGGAGCTGCTGGGTGACCGGAGGCCGGAGACGGGAAGATGACAAATCTGTTGTCCACATATCGCTCCAAAAAGATATTGTGACTGACTAACCATTGTCCGTAGATACGCTGCCAAATAACTTCGTGCCTCGCGACGCAGATGTGGCTGAGAACTGGGCTCAGCTGAGAACCAATCGCCGTCCCGTGGACTTGGCGCAGAATGAGAGTTCCCACCTGGACATACATGCATTGGAAGCTGGATTTGACGATGCCCAGGATGTCCTCCACGTAAATGACCCGCGTGGTCGGCGTACGTCCGTAGGATTGCTTGCCCGCAAACACCCGATTGTAGTGGACAGCTGCCTGAGTTTCCACTGAATAGATGAGACCGGGATGCCCTCGCTGGTGCTCTGCTAATAGCCACTGTTGAAGAAGCCGACCAAATCGTCATTGTGGAATGCAAGGGTGACTGTATCGTCTGTGTTGTCAAAGTAATGTTTGACGTTCTGCCATATCCTCGGCGTGGGGTGTATCCCCCATGAACACTTCCATGTAACCGCTGCGATCTCGCCGAGGAGGATTGCAACCGCTTTGAAGAGCTGCCGATGTACCACCTTATGGTAGGCTATAATAGTCCGCCCCGATTTCCATTGCTTCTTGCGTTTGAGAAAAACTTTTCCGACCGGGATGGCGGTGGTCTTCTTCCTGTATGCCCATTTGTACCTCTTCTGCAGGTGCCGCGGAATAGCTTCAACAATAAGAGCCCCGGCTTGATCGGGCTTCAGTGGAGTAGCTGCAAATGTGCCGGACTGAAGCCAGGTGTTGTGGAGGCCTTTGAAGTAGAGCTGAGGGCAGAAGAACATGAGGTGGTGGTTGTCGTGATCCTCGTTGTGGCATACAAAATCCTGGCCGAGGTGTCGATGCAGGATGTTGAGTTGGTGCTTGGTAAGGAGCTGATGGGTCATGTGGAACTTCTCGTCATTTCAGGACTGCTACCTCTTGACATCCCCCGGACCATCATCGTGTCAGTGCGCAGCCTGGTTAAAACGTCAGCCCTGGCTATCTCACGTTCAAGGCCATGTGGCCGCGGGATTAGATGAGTTCCGGTTTCCGGGAACCCCTCAGCACGTTCACTACACCTCAGCGCTGGCGTCGTATTATGTGGACCTCTCAGTTTACGAAGTGCAAGTTCATGAACGCCTACGAAAATGGTGTTTGCACCACGGCCTGCCCCTGGACCAGTTCCACGCACCTCTCATGGAGCACCTACGCAGTCAATTTCAGAAACATCGGCAGCACGCGTCCACGGACCCGAGGATGAGGGGTCTCTGCCAACTTCGTACTGGGCAAGTGGAATGGAAGGGCCCAGTTGCGGTGGTCGAGGACGAGACGACGAAGTACTTCCCTGGTGGACCGCTGATAATGTGGATGGGACAGCCACGGTAATCGCAATAACAAATTGATCTTGGGTTGCTGAAGTTGACGGAAATCAAGAACTCTTCGCAGAATGTTCCGAACTCGATGCCGATGAGGCTGTTCCACATTGCCAGACAACCTGTATATAGCATAGATATCCAAGTCTGAATGCCGTCCACTACGGTGTCGTTTTTCCTCCTCCCAGGATTCTCTGTGCTCCGAGGTGGCCCTACGATTGTGTTCTCGACTAGGATAAGTGATGCTGGTGCTTCCAATGTATACGTCCGACTGCGGGTTGACGGAGTGTGGAAGGTCCGGGCGGAGTTCGACTCGCTGCTTCCAGTACACTGCATTGGGCTGCGAGAAGTGGGTGAAGGTGTACATGTACGGTGGATACGTAAACGTCGTAGTCGGCGTCTGAGTTCCGTGAGTGCATGCGTGGTAGTGATGAACCATGAGCAGCGTGGACAGTGACTCGGCCCACATAGACAGTTGCTTGTTGACCATCGGCATGTTGAGGATTCTGCGACTTGTGATGATGATCAGATAGAGGACCTGATAATACTGATAGGATGCGTGCACGTCGAGCGAGTCGCCGAGTCTGAGTGCAATAAGCTCCGTGAGGTAGGGAAGGAAATCATCGGTGCCATGCTGCAGGCTCACTGGCCACGATGGCTCGGGAATACCATAGTGTCTGGCTGCACCGTATAGTTCTGACCGTTCATACTTGCCGTAGAGCTGCCAAAGAAACACCGTCTCCGGAGGTTGAATGACCGGCATGGCTTAGCCATGCATCGACGCTCGAGCACTGAACGGTTAGTTGGATC